ATAAAATGTACGTATGTGGTACACAACAGTACACTGATGGAAAAAATCTAAATAAAGTTTCGTCAGGCGAGCTAAGCTCCTTTCAACAATGGATAAGAAATACCGTAAAACCATAAGAAAAAGCAAAATTTTCAAATTTCCTAACTCAACTATTTGGACTGTGCTTTGATCAATATATCAATCCTTGAATTCCCATTTCATCCTTTCAGAGGAAGAATTTTAACAAATTCTTTCCCGCTTCTCGCCGACGTTGTAAAAAGAATCCTCTGCGAAAAGTTTCTAGATCCAGCGGTTGAAGCTGAATACTGTATTAATCAGTCAGTTTATCCTTTTATAATTAATGTAGAATATATTGATAGCAGGACCGTCTTTAACCCATTGTAGGCCCTGGGCACATAAGGATAACGGAGTCTTTATGACTTTGAAAAAGGACTATTTCGTTAAAATAGCCAAAATTCTAAATTTATTGAACAATTATTTTTGTTTCTTTACAATCACAATAAATGAAAAGATAATTGTAATATAATTCGGAACAGTAACTCCTTTAGCTTTAATAGGTTACTGCTTAAAATTCTATGTTTATTGAAAAATTTTGATAAAAGCAAAATCGCCAAACAGTTTTTCGAAGTCTACGTCCTTGAGCACAACACATTCTATAGAAATTAGCGAAATACTGGTCAATCTTTCAGAGGAGCGTTGTACTTCTTAATTAATTTTGTATTCTTTCTAATTTTGAAATAGAGCTCGCCTCAATGCCGTAAGTTATCATCATGTTTAAAAGATTCTCGATGCACTTTATACTTTTAAATGTGTTTCCAATTTTGTTTTGTAATTAATAGTCGATTTCCTCAAAATAAGTATATTGGTCGGTAATAAATATTGGTTTTCGGTTGGTGGATGGATCTGACAAAATCTAGGGGGCCCCCGTCGATTGCGGACACTTGCCCAAATGCCTAGTTTAAAAGATGGGCCTGATTGATAGACGATAATAGTTAGGCATAATAGCTTGTGAAAGAGGGAATCTGAATGCTCCTTTTACGTAATCTATAAAAAGGATTACGTTGCTTCGGATTGAATGTTAAAATGAAAATGTAAGTCACCGTCTCAATATTTCTTTAACGCGGAAGTACATACTTGAAATTCTTGACTATTTAACGTCTTTCTTCTAATCAAGATGATCCAACATGAGCCTCCGTACCGTAATCATCACATGTGATAAGGTACACGAGGCAATCTTTTCAAAAGAATCGTATATTTTTTCTTCTTATTATTCAACTATTTGCCGAGTACATTTGTTGCTTTTCAATAAATGTACACTTTTCTCAATAGTACCAATTACTAAAGGATTTGCTGTGTTAGGCATTGTTACCTATATTAATTTATAGGCGGTACCATTCACTCCTCCTATTTACTATCAATTTATGATCGCCTTAAACCATTTGCACGTTCCCATTTACATAATGGTGCATAAGGATAATAAGAAATATGTCATTTTTGATAAGCAAGTAACAATACTTCGTATTATATATATATACATCTACAGACAGTTGCAGAAAATTTCTTTCTAAACATATCGATGTTCAAGTTTCTATTCAAGTATGATAAGTAAGAAAGCAAAGGATTTTTGAGACCCCTGTCGCATGATTTTTAGATTTAATTGTAAGTAGCAGTTTTGCTTTTGGTGCATACGTACAAAAATATACAAAAGATGGAAGTTCCTTAATAGATAAAATTTAAAAAATAAAAATATGCATAATACTTTAATACACAATAATAATGATTATTTTCAATGGTTCATTAAAAAATCACTACCCCGTTATATTTAATTAAAAAACTTTTCAGGCA